CGGGCTGGAGCTGACCGGCGTCCCCTGCACAGGAACCAGCGCTGCCGCCTGGCGCAGGAGGGCAAGGGCTGCGCGCAGGGCCTGCGCCTCCGCCACCACTACATGCTGTGCGGGGCGCTGCTGCGCGTGTGGGGCCGCATCGCCGCCGTCATGGCCGACGTCAGCAGCAGCAGCTACCTGCAGATCGTGCGCCTCAAGACCAAGGACAAGAAGAAGCAAGTGGGTGAGTGGGGAGCAGCGGGGGCGCAGAGAAGGGGCTCCCGGTGCGGTCCCCGCGCGGGCCTGACCGCGTGTCCGCGCCGCACAGGCATCAAGATCCCCGAGGGCTGCGTCCAGCGCGTACTGCAGGAGCTGCAGCTCATGGATGCCGAGGTGAAGCGCCGCAGCGCCCAGGGGCTGCCCGCGCGCCCCCCCACTCCACGCATGATCGCGCTTCCTTGCGGTCCTGGTGAGGTGCTGGACTTGACCTACAGTCCCCCGGCCGAGGCTTTCCCGCCGCCTCCACGCTTCACCTTCCCTCCGCTGCCGCCCCCAGACCCCAGCTCCCTGATGCTGGGGGCGAGAGACCCTGCGGCCAACCCCGCGGAGCTGGCACACCAGGGCTGCGACATCAATTTCAGGGAAGTGTTGGAGGACATGCTCCGCTCTCTGCGCGCGGGGCCCACCGAGACCCCTCCGCCTCTGGTGGGCGTGGGCGGCGGGGGCACCGAGCGGCAGAGCGTCATCCACTTCAGCCCGCCCTTCCCCAACTCGTAGGCGGCCATGGCCCCTGGATCACAACTGTCCTGGGCAGCCCAGCGGCCCCCTGCGAGCAGAGGTTCCCGCGACTACTGAGGGCAGCTGCGCAGGGCCTTCCCGCCAGCGGTGCGGGCCTCGGCCGCCCTGCGCTGCTCCGCCGCGCCCAGCCTGGAGGCCGTGGGGTTTGGTGGCCCCGAGAGCTGGTAACTCAGGAAATCCGGTGCTGAGGCCCCGCCGTCTATGGGGGCTCCACGGGGCAGACCCGTTAATATATGCAATCCCCTGCTCCCTAAATTATTGTCCCCCGCCCCTCACTAGCCCCGGAATCCGTGGGCAGCCGGCGGGCCCTGGTTTCTATGTATTTATAATGAACTCTGGTGTACATATGTAAAGATCTTTTTTAAATACATGTGCCTTTGCCTACTTCCCGGTGTGCTGCGACCCGCAGGTCGGGAGGGGCCGAGGGTCACAGCAGGCCCAGTCAGCAAGCCTGTCCCCTGGTGGGGACAAGGTGGGGAGACGGAATTCACCCAGTGGCCGCTGCATTCAGGGCCCTGCAGAGGAAGGAGCAGGTCCTCAGTCAGAGGAAGGGAAGACCGAGGCGGGTGGCCGTCGATTGGCACTTAGTCCACAGTCCTAGGGTCACTTAGCCTGGCAGTACAAAGCTCACAGCCCGCAGGAGAGGCGGCCATGGGCCAGCAGTCGGGGAGGGCAGCAGAGAGCCTCCCACAGACTCCCAGAGCCACCCGACGTCTCCACTGTCTGCCCCAGAGGCCCTGGCTCAACCACACCCGCTGCAGGCAGCGGACCCCAGATGGCCACTCCCGGGCACCCACAACCCCCACAGAGAACATGAGACGCACGCACGCACACACGAGTGCCAGACATAACCCTGGGGCAGGCATGGGCAACCGACAGAGCTTCCCAGGAGGCCTCCTAACAGGTTCCCACCCTCCTAGGAACAGCCCTGGCCACGGCAGGTCCTTCCTGCTGGCCTGGGCAGAGCCTCAGGGATTAGCAGGGAGCTGCGACCAGCTGACCCAGATCTGCACCTGCCCAGTCCCGGGGCAGAGGCATGGCCCTCTAATCCCGGGGTGCTCAATTCCTGAGGACACAGGCACATTTCTACATTTTTATTCCCACAAGGCAGCCAAGGTGAAGCTCAAGCCCAGGGCCACAGGCCCCCGGGCCTTCCTCCGGCGGGATGCACGCCAGGTCCTCGGGACTGCCCCACCAGCGGGCTGGTTTGCAGGCAGACCGTCATGAGTGCCGGGCGGAAGGCTCCAGGGGTCACCGGGCAGGGGGGCTCGGTGGCGGCTCACACTTGTAGGTTAGAGATAGCACGGCAGGTCTTTCTCTATCACCTGTGGGGAGGACACGGTCAGACCTGCCCCCCAGCAGCCACGCACGGCCCCGGCCCCAGCGGTCAGACCTGTCCCCCAGCAGCCACGCACGGCCCCCGCCCCAGCTCACACCCAGCTGCATCGCCCCGAAGGCGCTTACCTGGGGCTCCTCCATGGGACCATAGCGCTTCATCACGCATCCGTTCTTATCAATGAGAAACTGTGGGACGGAGAACATGGTTGGCCGGGGTGCAGGGAGGTGGGACTCCCCCCCCACACACACACACACACACACAGTGTAACACTCTTACCTTGGTGAAGTTCCACTTGATGGCGCTAAGAGAGGGAAAGAGAGGGTTAGGAGTGGGTTACCCGCCAGGACGGGGGGGCGCGCACGCCTCTAACCCCAGCACTCAGTGGCTAAAAGAACGTATCGCTCTCTTCTGAAGAAGGGGGGTCAAACTCCCCAGCACCCACATCACATAGCTGTTCACAAAGGCCTGTAACTCCAGTCCCAGGGAACCACAGGCCCTCTCCTGACCTCTGAGGGCATCAGGCATGCATGCAGTCCACAGACGTGCATACAGACAAAACATCCATACACAGTGGGTGAAAATAATGAAATGAAAAATACACAATAAGTGAAAATAATCTGGGGAGGAAAAGAGGTGGGGGAGAGACAGATCAGTGGTTAGAGCACTGACTGCCGGGAGGTGGGAACACTCGGGAGGCGGAGGCAGGTGGATCTCTGTGAGTTCAAGGCCAGCCTGGTCTACAGAGTGAGATCCAAGACAGGCTCCAAAACTACACGGAGAAACCCTGTCTAAATAAACCAAAATAAATAAACAAATAAATAAAAAGCACTGACTGCTCTTACAGAGGATCAGGGTTCAGTGCCCAGCACTCACGTGGTGGCTACAACGTACCAAGCCCCTGTAACTCCAGCTCTGGGAGACCCAACGCCCCCTTCTGGCCTCTAAACGTACTACACCCAGGTGCATATAAACACATTCAGGCAAAACACCATACACATAAAATGCACATAAAGAAGTCTGAGGCCCGGCCAGGTGGTGGCGCACACCTTTCATCCCAGCAGGTAGGGGAGGCGGATCTGAGTTTCAGGCAAGCTAAAGCTACATAGTGAGACCCTGCCTCAAAACAAACCAAAAAGTTGGCACCCGCTCCCACCCTGGTCCAGAGACATGCGGCCGCCCCCTGCCCACTCCTCCAGGGCCACTCACTTTCCCAGCATGCCCCTGCCCTTGGGCTGGATTTTCATCCATTTCCACAGTGGGTGGGCATCGTCCCCATTTACACAGATCTTGCTGTACATGTCAAACTTGACATTGTAGCCGGCCGCAAACTCCTTGATTTCTTGATTACTTCCTGGCTCCTGCGGATAGCAATTGACTGACTGGTAAGGTGCCCGCCACCGCACACAGACACAGCACCCCCACTCCGGGCCACTGCCTGGGGTCAGCCACGCACCTGCTTCCCGAACTGGTTGCAGGGGAAGGCCAGGATTCGTAAACCACACTCGGCATATCGGGCATGCAGATCGACTAGCTGAGTGTAGTTTACGTCGGTTTTGCCTCATTGCGAGGCCACGTTGGTGACGATGCACACGTAACCCCTGGGAGGGAACGAGTAGGAATGAGACCACCGGCAGGGGAGCCCCTTTTTCAGACCGGCCTTGCACCACCCACATAACCGGGCACCCACTTGTACTTATCCAGGCAAACCATGTGCCCGTCGATGTCCTTGGCTGAGAATTCGTGCATGGAGCGCGCACAGCGCCAATCATCTCGGGATGCGCACTGTAAAACAGAGAAACTGTGTGTCCTACCCTAGGTCCCCCAGCGGAGAGAGTCTGGAACCAACGAAAAGAATGCCCTGGGGCGACGGGCTGGGGAGCAAAGGCTCCTCCCCCTTCCGTACTTCGGTTCCCTTCAGGTCCTCCTGAAAGGAGCTGTGGACCCCCTAGAAGATGCTACCAGGGAAGGAACGGTAAGGGTACCCCTGGCCGCACACCAAGCCCAGGAGCTCGGCGCAGTTGCTGGCCTGGGGAGGCTCCTGCAGCAGAGGCCCGGGGACCGGAACCACCGGATCGTTCCGGCGAGGGCGCGCCCTCCTGCGGCGGCGCGCACAAGCTTTCCTTCTCCTCCGGGGGCCCCGGCGCTTCCGAGGCCTTCGGCGTGGATGTTCACGCCGCCGCCGGCCTCCTGGGGACCCGCCGCGCTGCCTGCAGCGTCCCGGGTTTCCGGAGGCCGCGCGGCCCATGGCCGCCCGTCTGTGCGTCCCGAGCGCAGCGCGGGGACAAAGAGCCGGTAGCCAAGGTGCCGCCGATTGTGACGCACCAGGCCGAGCGGGCGCGGGACCAGGTCAGAGCCCGCTATGGTGACCCCAACACCCGTTCCCACCCCCAGGGGGCCTCCCCGGCCGAGGCCTGGCCCTCTTCTGTCCCGGGGGTGCCCACGGGCGTCCGCCCTCCCACCGGGGCGCCCCCTAGTCTAACCAACAGACCCCCCGACCCCCGACCTCCACCCGGGACGCGGTGGCCCGGCCCCAGGCCCCGCCCCCGCCCGCGATCGCGACCCCGACCGCTGTGGCCGCGGCCGCCCGGGTCCCCGGTGCGCCCACCATGGTGCCCGCCAGGCCAGGCGCAGCCAGAGCCCCGCACAGCAGCGCCGGCTTCAGCAAGCGGCTCAGACGGCCCCAGCTCATCTCGGCGGCCGGAGCCAGCGGCTCCTCCCCTCACGCAGCCGGCCAATGGACGCGCGCTGCCGAGTCTGGCCGGCCCGCCCTCGGCCACGCCCACTGACGTCGCTTATCGGTCGGGGGCGCCTGCGCCCAGGGCGCGCGGCCCCGGCAGCCAATGGGAAGCCGGGACGAGGGGGCGGCGGGGCGGGGCCGGGGCTGCGGGTTTGTTGTTGTCAGCGGCTGCGCATGCTCGGCGGAGCGGCGGACGGGGAAACGGGAGCCGCGCCCGCGCGGGCCGCGCGTTGGAGGGCTGCGGGCAGTTAGTGATCCGCGAGGTTGCCTGCGGCGGCGCAGGGTGCCGGGGCGCCCAGGGGGGCCCCTGGGGGTGGCCAGTGAGGCAGAGCCACCCCCTCGCAAACGGCCCCTTGGAGCACAGCAGACAAGCCTCATGTAGCCCAGGCTACCCTCGAGCCCTGGTTCTCGCTCAGTCCCCCGCGTGCTGGGATGGACCGCGGGTGTGCGCCACCCCCGTGTCCCCCCATTGCTCTCCTTTTTCACAGCTGGCCTCACGTAGTCCAGGCTATCCTCAGACTCACTGTGCATCCCACAGACTCACTCCCGACCCTCAGAACTGGGGTAACCGATGCGCGGGGCCTGGAACCGGGGCTCTGCTAAGTGAGCGCTCTCCACCCAGACACAGCTTCCCCACCCCGTTTTACAGCTCAGGCCGGCTCGGAACTCAGAAATCCTCCTGCCGTAGACTCCTGCGTGCTAGGGTGACAGGTCTATGTCCCCTGTAGATCGCGGGGAGACAGACTGACTGATGTGGAGCTGATTGGAAGGGGTGGGGCTGAGGACTCAGTGAGGAACGTGATTGCCAGACAAACAACACAGAGCTTCCCTCAGATCCCAGCACCCGCGGGAGCAGGTGCGCGTGGATGCTTTGTGATCCCCGGGGTTAAACCAGTCAGAACCTGCCGCCCCCAGAACAGGATGAAGACAGGCACAGTGGCCATACCCTAACCCCAGCCCGTGGAGGCAGAGGCCAGCCAGGGCTGCACAGTAACTCTGTCTCAAAACACAGGGTGGTGGGAGAGCAGGGGAGACCATCCAGTCTTCCGCACAAACACAGTGACCACAGAGCTTCCTGCACGTGTAAAAGAAGCCAGGGCTCTTAGGGCCATGTGAGGAAGTCCCACAGTTCCTCGCCACACCCCTCGGCACTCTTGGCCCTCTGTCCTGGAGTGGAGGCCCTGTACACCGAGGTGTGACTCAGGAAATTCCTCAGCCCAGCTGCCTGTCCGACTCCCCACCCCCGCTGGACTCTGATCCCTGACCAGGCCTTTTGTCTTCCCTGTTTATCTGACCCTGGACTGCGCC